GGTGTAGGGTTCAGGGTTTAGGATTCAGGGTTTAGGGTTCAGGGTTTCAGGGCCCAAATAGACCATACTATCTTTGGCTAGTTTGATCCTTAGGTTTTGTGGTTTCGTATCATGACTGTTTCACAAATTTGATGAATATATTATAAGTCACATCTTCGGGCCATCGCAGCCTCACGTTGTAGGGTTCGGTGGGCTGTGGTTGTGGACGGAGCGCAATTATTGGCAAGGAGATACGTAGTGTCCATGCACAGCAGACTTATTTGACGTATTGGCCTTCTCTCTTGAAAGCTGGGCGTCAGGATTTGCAGGGCTGCTAGTTTTGGGGGTTTAGGGTATATAGGGTTTAAGCACAAGCTCGGTTCATGTTCACTTCCGTCGCGGTTACATCATGAACGTGTTCGGCTGAGGAGTCGGTCGAGGTCCAGGAGTTTAAGGTGACTGTTGTGGTTTTGACTGGTGTTCCATGGTTCTTGGGAGACACGATTTGGGGTCTTGAGAGTGAAAGTCTGTTTCAAGATGAGGGATTGCGGAGTATATTACCCTAAGAGTCCATGTGCCCAGATAGTATATACTTTGGTGGCCCTAAAGTAGTGCCTGTATAAGTATATTGGGGCACATGGACTTTTAGGGTTATAGCATGCAGCATAATTAAACTGGGACTTCTCGAGAAAGAACCGTACCAATTATTCAGGCTCCTGTAGTAAGTGCCACAACTACCAGATCCACATTCTGAAAACACTAAAGCCCCTAAAATCACAACCTCTTCGGGGTGTAGGTCTTTAGCTTAGTGGGTGCAGTGTCCTCAAACCATCCCTGAAACTGCCCTGTAAATGCTACTCAGGTGTCTCGATAAATCCTATAGCTGCGGGTGTGCTCCAGAACCACAGAAACTTTGCAGCCATCTGCCTCATGATCCCAAGCTCCTAAACAATAAGCACTAAACTTCACTGAACCCGAATTCCCGAATTCTGAATGCATCCCAAGCTCCTAAACCATAAACACTAAACTTCACTAAACCCTATAATTCCTGACTTCTGAAGCCTGGAAACCGGAGGAACAAGGAGGCGGCAATGGCAGCCAGCTTACGCCGGTTTCTCAGGAAGCGTCCCGGGTCTCTCCCTTCGATTCCCAACAATCACTGCAACTCAGGGGCGAAGGAACCTTTAGGAACTTTAGTAGCTGAATGAGTACGCTTTGCAGGTTTGGGGATAACAATAATAACCTGGAGGACTGAAGCTGTATATT